TGTAATCCGTTTTTTTTTTTTGTCAGCATCAGTTTAGTATTACTCCTATAAATAAGAACCGAGATTTACCAATTTTGCGGTCTTAACAAATTATTGCACAACTAATATAATACTGAAATAGTTAACAAAATGTAATACTATTTTTATTGCATTCCCAAAGAGTATATTATGTTCTAAAACAAATTACTATACCGAAAATATGTATACGTTTTGATGTCATTTACGAGGTCATACTGAGGCTATTTGACTCATTTTCTAAACTTAAGGGATTAAAAAAAAAATTGTTTACATACTTGTTGTATGTAAGTCTTGTATTCATGGCATAACGGCGAATTTCTATATTATGTATTATTAAAGACAACTTGGTACTACGGGTTTTTTCTTAAAATATAAATAATTTTTCAGTTTCCATCTTAGCTCGAACAACAACTATTACAAATATTTTATATTGTCTGGCAGCTCATGCATAAATTACAAATTCTGCTTTACTGAATCCCTCTGCAGTAGAAGCTCTACTAAAAGCTTTTAACACAGCAGAGGAAATGAAAGTGTCATTTCTAAGTATGCTGTCATCCTATCTACGAAAAAAGATTTACTTACAAATAATACTATTATTAAGTATGTTTATTATTTATATAACTAATACGTATAATGTATAAAATATTATATTTTGTACATTTTTCTAAAATTGTACAATTATTTTTACACATAGTATTAGAATTAGTTTCGCCAAAATGTATGCGTATTAGTTTTAAACGAATTTCAAAAATGACTTTAACTCATAGAATATATGAATAATTAGTAAGTTAACCAAAGTTCAGACAACAAAATGGTACCGACACTTTACAATTCGCTTCGCCCAACACTTACTATTACCATTCACAAATTAGTTTTAGTATTTCATTGAGCGTTTTTTAAATTACCAAATTGTTTAAATTACAAAACGACTCATCGATATAACAATATACGCAATATTATTGCACATACCATAAGTAATATTTAATTAAAACTTCAGCAGTAGTAAGATGGTGCATTAGTTTTCTCTGAAAATAATTAATTTTTATTGTTATATAAAATTTTGAAAGTGCATTGAAATCTTAAAAAAACATTCTTATGTTTGAACTGCTATTAAAAATGCTCTAATATTATAATTGAATGTCAGATACAGCTATGCGTTGGGGAGTTTTTTTTTGTTGTTGTTATTATAATGGAAAATTTAAATTTATGAAAGTCGCGAACGACATTCCATCCCTGAATTGTGTAATTGCTTTTTTGTTCATCGTGAATATAATTTACACGAACGAACACAGTTCGGTAAAAAATCAGATTCAAACAAACGATGTACGGATATATGTATATAGTTTATGGCTAAATGGCTCAATGCCGGTAATTACTAAAAAAAAAAACAAAAAATGTAATGGCTGTGATAACAAATCAATGGCATCGCCTTGTAAACTTAAACAAACTGTACAAACACATCCAGTGCACGATCGTTAACGCCAACGGAGGCTGTGCTATTTATTTAAGGATAGGCCAGACAGACACACGACTCTGTGCAAACACGGCCCCCCATACGCCATGTTGCATAATACTATGTTTGTCAGTGACATAGTGGGTCTATGACAACAAACATACATAACCGCATTGGATGGGATGAATAATTACATAGTAGTATACTATCTTGAAGACAAGTGCCTACCAAAATATAACGACTGTACACTGTTTAAGTGTCCGATGTGCATACAATAGTAATTAAACCGTTACATAATTTTACCGATGATTTTTTTCAAATAAAAATAATATACAAATCAATATTTGGTCGTTACAGTTGGTTTGTTATTTATTATAATTACTTTTTTGTGCAGACCCTTGTCATATCAGAACAACTACTATCCGTCACCTAATATTGTACTTTTTATCATGGTAAAATCAAATTATTTAAAAAAAAAATGCTGAATCGCTTTTCTTGTTAAATGAAACTTCGAGCAAAAAACAAAGACATCGACTCGGCAGAGTTTTTAAGTACACCGTTTTTAGGCACAATACAAATTATTCCGTTATCTCGTAACTGAAAATGCTGGCAATGACGTTGTGTCTTACCCGCCCTCTCATTTTTCCCATTTCTAAAAACTTTTAAAACACCCTCGAGCGACGTATACAAATTAACAAAGGTGTTCATAACGGTTCTAGGTCACCTTGGCCTAATTTTGCAAATGTAGAACGCCATCGGTGTACGATACCCAATATCATAATTTTACTAAATAGATTTGAAACGTTGTTAAAAGACTCGAGTATTTTTAAATTAAATTTCATTATCTTTTACATTAGTACATCATAGTATACGTCGCTTATTTCCCAAGCTCAAAATTTAACGGAATTTCAACCTGTTGATAAGGAAATAAGTTAATAGTAATTTGAAAAAATAAAAATAAGCTTACAACTTGATCCAAAATTACTCTTATAAAATACGTCAATTTTTATTTAAAAATATTTTGTAGTTTTTTTACCAACTGTAGATAGTATTGTATTGACTGTAGTAGTTTTTACCTACATTACATAGTATTTTTTTTATAACAAGTCAAAAATGATAATAAAAATATTTATATCACGGTAGAAAATGTTTTTGTCACAAAAAAAAATGCAAGCTGTACTTAACACCGAGATCGCATGCTTTTAATTTATAGCCACTTATTAATTTTGACCAAAAAAAGATTTTTAGCGGGGACTTAATGTCAATTTTCATTTATTGATTCTGTTAGATAAATCACCTAACAAATCATTCTTACATGAAAAAAATATCATTTGGTGCGCCTCTGGTTGGGCGACGGTCATTTAATAGGGCCCTCGAAACGACCGTTTACCCTTTTTGACCAACGTTTTGTGTAGAAAAATTATAAGCTGTCAGTTGCAGTCAATAACTCGATGAGGTTATTGTTCTCGAGTAGACACAATAATGTGGATTCGCAAACTCCATAACGTTTTTATTTGAAGTCTGGTCGCTCTTCATTAAGCGACGGCCGAAATACTTTTGTTTTCTAGATAAACTTAATCGGTTCGAGTAGAATTATCTCACCGTACAAGTCGAATGCGTTTAGAACAAATCGCCTACTACCCACCTTTGTCTTTAATATCGGATTTAAACGCAAAGTTACTGCGCCCCGTACCCAACCTTGCTACTACCTCACATACACCTATGCCATGTATGTACTGCTGCCTGAAATGTTCAGACAAAGCACGTCCCGTCAATCGTTTCGGATAAATTTGTTACAAGCACATACACTTTGGCATCGAGTTCAGTCTTGGCCCGACTTGAGCCTTTCGGTATGAACTTAAAGGTTCTTTTTTTTATTTTACAGCAACAGGGCGCTTGAAGGGACGGCTCGTGTGGAGTGGCCGTGTGTTGTTACGCACTCTTGCCTGCTCGTTTTTTTTTCCATTTACTGACTACCGTGAAAAAAGTCTCACCCCCCCCCCCCGTGTCTTTTCTTTAATAGGTCCCCAAGCTTGTTCGGTCGTTGTTAGGTCCACGGCCATTTGTGATTGCGACCCGCCAAATTAACACATCTGTGCGAGCCGGTCTGACGGGGAAGAAGGTTCCCACGTTAGTCATTACCTGATACATTTGTCCGAGATCCGTTCAAAGGACTAACAGCCACGTGGACAGTGTACACATAGATGACGGCGAATCAAACGTTAAATACTACTAAAACGCAGCCAGTTCGGATAACAATTAGTAAGACAAGTGCCTAAACCATGATTTTGTCGGAGTTGATCACTGTAAACCTTACCTAACCTCTGCATTTTGCAATCGGTGAATTTAGTGGAAAATGAACACAGCTGTGAATAATGTATACAACTCGGGCGAAAGCTTTAGCGCGTTTAAATTTCCATTTTGATTTATATTGTAAACTAATCCGGTGTGGCTAAAATATTAAACGTACCCTAGTAGGAAAAATCCATTAACACTGTTGAAACTTTGGACTCACTTTGAAAACTATCGTCAGCCATAATGTATTCTCGGAGTTCGGGTTTATTTTGACGTTTCCGCTAATAACGATCGCGATAATACGTACCCTAACCTAACGTTAAGTAATATAACATAATAGTTTCTGTTTCTGACACACACGCACGCACACACTAAAAAAGGGAAGATTTATTTTCTGTTGTTATTAAAAAAAAAAAAACCAAAACCCTCAACAACATCAATAGATGGTCGTGAAGGTTTGTTCTAGTACGTTCAATGCACAATAAATAAAGGCACATAGGTGGAAATAATATATTATCGTTGCATACTATCAAATTTTTCGAAACAGCTCTTCCAAAAATTGTCTTACAGTAAAGGTTACTTATATCATCTGAAAGTTAAAAGCTTTATCTGTGTCGCCTCGGCGAGAATTTTATATTAACTTGATTGTTAAAACCAAAATAAGTGTTTAAAAAACTTTTTTTTTAAGTACAAAAGTACCTAATGGCGTTATTAAAAAAAACTCGTCGAGGCGACACAGATAAGGTTCTTCTTAACTTTCAGATGGTATAAGTTACTCTTCTGCCAGACAAATTTTTGGAAAATCTGTATCAAGAAAGCGGAGACAGTTGTTTCTCAAACATTTGTTTTAAATCTCTGTCAAGGAATCTTTGATAGTCCGAAAAATAATTTAACTACCAAAAAAATAAAACCTAACTACTGAACCACTAATTGCACATTACGGCTTAATCTTTTAAGTTAAAGTTTCATAGTTGAGATTTTTGTAAGAAAATTGCCTATTTATTTACTCCTTAAAAATGGGCGGAAGGCGTCCTCTTAACACAATTTTTTTGAAAATCGGATATTGACTAGTATAGTTTATGAACCTAAAAGTTAAACCATAAAAAAGAGATGCAATTTGTAGTTTTCGGAGGCAATTCGCATGCGTCCTATATTGTTGCGTACAAACCGACACAGAGTGTCTCTTTTTTAATATAACAATAATTATTGTGTCGCTATTGTCATGATGCCTTACCTTATATAGCTGTTGTGTGTGTGTGTGCAAATCTCCGTGCTACAATTGCCGTAACGGTCAAAATCAATCGGTCGTCGTGGCCGAGGGCCGTGGCCGGATTTTAGACCTTTGACATATTCTCTGGGGCGGTCAAAACGCTCGGTTTTTTTGGGGTTTTTTTTTTTTTTTTACTGAGTTTTTACTCAAGCTCCGATGACGGGTGTCGACAGCGGCGGTGGCGGGAGACCGTCGTCGACGACGAGGACATACCGTTGTTATACACGCTCGGTCGCGTGATTAAAATCAAAAAAAAATGTCCGAAAAATAAAAATAAAACGAATTCGGAAAACAACGGGGTGGACGCGGAGTACGCGGGAATTGTTCGGGGAAAACCGGAAAAACCGACACTCGGCAACGACTACCACGTTCTGGACTGCGTATGTAGCGCCGCCCCACCGACTACCCGGACTACGGTTCTAGCACTGCCGCCCCGTCGCTGGGGCGCAAAATAACCCTTCGTGCTTACACCCCCCCCCCCGGCCATTCGTTCTCCCCCCCCCCACCCTCCCACCGTCGCTTCGCCCATAGCCCAGTGCTGCCGCCGGACCCGCTGGAAGCGCCCCGGTTGTTGCCCGTGTCGTCGCTGGCGGGACTTGCGTGAAAAACCGTTCTGGCTCGGGCAACACGTACCCGCCGTCGGAGAGGCGCCCGGCAATCTTCGGAGATTATATTATGCCCCTTCCGCACATCCGACCGTGTTCTGCGCTAACACGCGCCTACCCCGGCCGTCCGCCCACGGTCACCTTGGGGTCCCGACCACCACCACCACCGAAGGGTGTGGGTATAATATGTGAGTGGTATACTAAAATGTAAAAATAAAAAAATAAAAAGCGGTTACAACTTTGGCGGCGATTCGGCTGTTTTTACCCCCGTCTTAATGTATTTTACGTATGCGGGTACTCGCTCGGCGGGAACGACAAAAATAATTAACTAAGCTTGTACCTACATCGAAAAGCCATTAAAAATACACGCCTTGCGACGGCGTTCGAATCTTGTCTCGTGCGCCGCGACAGCTAAACCGGACAAGCGAATAAAAGTGTCACGAAAGAAAGAATAAAACACCCTCTTTGCAACGCGTGGACAGCAAGAGTTTCAAAACGGTCGTCGCAGTAGAGCTTTCGTTAAAAACAATTGTTTTCTTAAGCCTATAATGGGTTACTGTGACACGGGACAGTGATATCGTGCAATGAAAATACAATTTTGTGACTAGATTTTTACTAGCTGTAACTGCTGGATTTGTTTTTATTTTTGTGTCTGCCGATTTCTTCATTTAGCAAGTCTATAGACAAAAATCGTACCCGAAAGGTACTTTGTTTAGGCCAAAAGCTGAGTTCACTAAATTACCATATAAATTAGAGAAGTTGTTTTGCTTCAACGTACAGTACAACACAACAGTAATTCGAGTGCAACAATGTATTTAATACCTGTGGCCGAGACAAGCGCAATAAACGCACGGTAAGTCTCCGTGTTTGGTGTTATTATTATTATGGGCTTAGCGTTATTAAAGAAGCCGCCATATTTGTAATGGGTGTACATTTTTATAAGCGCTTGCCCGTGCGACTACACTGTAAACCATATAATACTACTGTAAGTCATACAAGTTTTACTTTTTTTGTTACACATTTGCTACTGACCAAATTAATTTGTAATTAATATTTTTTTTACAAACTGAACATCCATGTCGGCCCAAGTGAACGCGACTTAGGTGAACAAATTTTTGTTTAATAAATCCTTTATCATATTACATGTCAAAACGACAGCTATGTCAGATTTCCTTAGACGATTATAACCGTACGCTTAGGTAAAGCCACGAACTTAACTCTAAACGCACGATGACTGATGAGTAAACTATTGTACTGCGTGTACAGACTAACTACTAGAAATCCATTGTAGCTCGTTACAGTCATCAGAATGGTTATCGAATGCACGTTGAGTTCAACAAAATATATTATAATATATTGCATACTATTGACCGCCTGATGTTGTACATTAAATTTAATTTACAGCACCAAAATTGGGTAATTTTAACTGATTTTTTCTAGCTTAGTTAACTAATGTTATGGTAATAGTAATTAAAGTGGAATTAATACACGATTATGCTGGAAATCTCAACCAGACGTGTTCTGACTATACTAACTTATACTAGAGACCAAAGTAAGTTTAACAAGATATTGTGACACCTTAATTAATAAGTTTAAAAAGTTCTGAAACGCCCTGAATAATCAAAATGAACGAAATTCTTTAATAAATTTATGATTAAAAACTGAGCCAACATTTTCATATTTTATGTGTTATTAAAGTTACCAAAGCTTTATAATATTAATTGGTGTCAACTAGATTAAAGTTTTACGCGTTAGTTTAAATATTTTAATCGGCAATTGCATAAATGCGATTCTTGTAATAAAAAAATATAATAATAATAATTTTGCAGTGTTGTTCGTCCCTCGAACCGCTCTACAAAATTCACTGGTTTCTATTACTATAGCGGTTTTAGAGGTTTTACCGGTGATCTGTTTGTAATTCCTGGACTTCCCATGAAGTATGAGAATTTGTTCCTTAAGTCAAAATAGTAAAAAGCGAAGACATTATAAACTGAAAATATACAAGTCCTTATTTGACGGGTATTAATATTCAAATTTTCCCTGGTAGTTTGTTATTACTTGTACAATTTTTATTGTACCTATTATAAGTATGTATTTTCGTTAAAGAGTTGTAATTATAAATAATTAACTATATCCAATTATATTTCTCTCAACTTTAAAATACAAAATAAATAAAAAAATGTTAACGGCGAAATTGTTATATTGATATTTGCAAAAGTGAGTAAAGCACACGGACGTTTTTTTTTCAATTCATTCATCACTGTTTTTTGACACTTTTAAATTTAAATACATTTATAATTAGTAAACTTACCTGATTATATTTTTGCCAGCATTATTCACTTAATTCAAGTACTTAAAAAGTTTTTGTTTTAAAACAAACGATAAATTATTCAATTTAACATCGAAGAAAAAATGTATTTAATATAATTTATTGACCTATTAAATTCGTATAAAACCTATACGAGATGATAAAAAAAACCATTATGTTAAAAAATCAATTTTTTTTTTTTTAGTTCTTTTAACATTAGTGTTGTCATCGAAAAGATTATAGTTTTCAATCAAACAACTTATCACTCATCCTCTTGCATTAATTAATCATTGATGTTGATTTGACTGTTCAGACTTCGGCTATTCCATTATGTATGCTGTATAATTTATTTCTATGGATCCCTAACGAGATGCAATCATAATTAAAATAGAATGGGACTAACGCGGGTTAAGTATCGCGGGGTATTTTTTATTATTATACATTCTAAATGGCATCCAAGCGTTGTTGTGTGTGTGGTGCTTAGTTCCGAATGAACGTTGACGTGGATTATGTAATTACTATTTTATTTTTAATGTGTATTACATTTCTTCTTAATTTGAAAATAATTCGTTGCTCCTGGCAGAACACGAGCGTTTCACAATATTGTATATTTGAAAATGCAATTTTTGCATGTACTTAACCGTGAAAATCGGCTTATAGTGTTATATTTAAATACAAAAAAAAAAAAAGGTCTATACTAACATCTGTACGCTAGGACTAAGGGGTTCAAATACCGGCTATAATATGTCAAATAGGTTATTACTCAGTTAAACCGATGAAGTATTATAGAAGTCATATTGACTTTTATTATCCTGGCATAAAGAAGTCGTTCGGTACATCACCAGACTTAAAAAAAAAAACTCCAGCAAGTATCGGGTTCAATTCCAAGTATGTCATTTCGCTAAACTACCTGCCCTACGGCGCAGCTGTACTTACAAGGGTACTCGGTAGGTGATTTAAACAAATACTCAGCTTGTTAGAGTACCACTTTGATGGAAAAGCTAGTTTCCATGGAAAATCAACATAACCGTAATTTTTTTTTCTCCAGACAGGTCGTGGAACATGATAAATATCAAATTGGTCTTCTAAAAAAAAATATAAACGGTCGAAAATTACTTCTTTTGTTTTTCCATCGTTTGTCGGTCTTAAACTAATACATTTTTTTTTACTTTTACAATACTTTGTACAAAATGTAAATTTAATAAATAGGTGTAGGTGTTATAATTATTATTATTCTGTATTATAATTACTTGATTGGTATTTTTGACAAACGATTGTTCTTTGATCAATTTCGACTTGATCATTGTTGTCGGTGATTAACGGTCTTTTGACGAAATGTGTTTTGATCGGCTGACCTAAAACCGCCGTTTGACCTAGAATCCATTAACGGCTGTTTATAATTCATAAAATTCAATATTATAATAATTGGAAATACACCGTGGAACCAATTCGGAAGTGACGATACACACAACCGAGGACTTGACGAACAACAACAGACACTGTCTTTATAGAATGATCTGTTGACATTTTTATTACGGTCAAATCACAATCAAGCAAACAATTATTCCGTCGTTAAGGACTATATATTTTGTGGGGGTCAACATTCGTTACAATTTACAGCGACGAGCCAACTCACCTCGCGCGTGTTGCTACAATATTAATAATAATAATAATAATAATAATGTTTTATTATTATACATGACGTTGATGTGCGTTGAGTGAGTAGGTACATATTATACATAGTACGTACGATAGCTGTTTCTGGGTCTATTTTCATAATGAATATGACCTTACGGTAATAGCAATTTATTATGAACACAACGTATCTCGCCACAGCCAATGCCTAAGCACGCGCACTTGGTTTGCGTTGATAGGTACACGCGTCTTGCCTAGAAGACAGTCTTCCCGAGGCACGGTTGTCCCGACTGTCCACAGGAAATGTCCCTAAAAAAAAAATGTCAACACATTTTTACACATTTTACTAAATAAAGTGTAATTGTATGCAGATTATGACCATGTCATGGCTGCTCATAACTATTTTTACCCGGACCGTTAATGTGAAAAATAAAGAGTTTACACCTCCAAAGCTACTGCCCAATACTTCAATATATTATGCTCAGTTGTATGCCTACGTTGAACTCCAACAGGCAAAAACAGCTATCGTCTGAAACGACCACCCCCATAAAAACGTCTACGGCTGTCATCTTCAGACCAACATAATGGTATTGCAACAGCTGCCAAACTTTATAATGGTGCCTCACTAACTGACCAATCAGTCCATCTGTCCGTCGCCTCATTTACTTGTCCGCCGCTCGTTAAACTTCTCGGAAATGCTGAATGCGTAAAAACTTGGCCGAAAAAAAAAATCCACCTTAAATATAAGAATTTATCTTATCCTTAGGAAAATACAAAAATAATAATGAAAAGTCTTAGAATATTTAAACTCGGTTAGTTGTAATAAACATTTTTAAGGCAGTTAAAAATAGAAATACCTGCTA